CCTATCGTGTTCCCTGGGATATAGATATTCTTCATATGCATATCACTTAAAAGCGTAATTTACGACCGTATTTCACCTTTATTATTGATCCATATTTGTCCCGGATTATTGTCGTTTTCAACCAGTAAAATTACATGTAAGAGCGATAAAAGCAACAATACAGTAAAATGTGTTCTACCATAATATATGCATTATCAGCCCATGAGGTATCAACACAGATCATGTTACACAACGCGTGGTTTTTGTTTATGGTATTTCGTCACTCGAGCTTGCTATTTTTCATAATTTACAAGACTTACAAGCGAGTGTTTTTTAAAGTGTTTAAAAATAGCTGACTAGATATATATGTAACGACTATTGGATCATTTGGTGTGTTTCTAACACAATGAAAGAGCTATTCCAAGGATGAATAGCTACCGATATCAGTTGGGGTGTATTAGTATGCCGCTAATTCATATGCAATACTGACAATTTCCAAATTTGCGGAATTATTATAAATTGTAATAAATCATAACAAGTATTAGCTACAAAGCAATAAAAAAAACTAGTTTCATCGATAGTGTGAAACGCACTTCCGGTCAAAGTACACCACGTAGGTCAATCAAAACGCTTTTAGAGTTGATTCCACGTGTACTATAAATGTTGGTTTATCAGACACCGAAGTGATAATTATCCCAAACAGAAAAGTACGCCAAATGTATTGCCTTGTTCAAAATTCCCTTTCAAAACTGATACGATTGGATTTGCTATTCTTGAACTACAAAATACACGAGTCTCGATATCAAATAAATTTCAGTAATCTTCTCGCACGAATGAAGGAAACCCTCCATGTAATATGACGGTCCGCCATACCAATAACTTAGTATTGGAAAGAATCAGACGCAACTATAGTGCACATTTATTTGATTCCATAATGTCACCATTTCTTGACTAACATATAAAACATTTCCATGGTGCCTCGCAGTTTTCCAACCATTTTTATTAAGACACAGGAGAAAACACAAGCAGAAAATAACAGGTTGAGGTGTCCGCTATGTAGAGGGGGATTGATTCCTTATGTGATCACTCCTTTTATGTTATTCAAAACATCATGATTTGTTTGGGCTCTTCAAATATTTGATAAAAATGGATTGATGTAAAATGAAAAATCTTTTAAAATTATCTCAAATTTGATTGAAGTAAAATTGTTTATATTTCTTCCTGTATGTGACTTCGAGAATCAAGTCGATATATGAAATGATAAATTACACGTAGGAAACAGTAGTAGACTGGTTGCCGCAAATTACTTGTTATTTCTCGATGTCTCATGTAAAACAGCTGAGTTATGTTGTTTGTCAAGCTCCTGGCTAGGATTCTGGTGTGCTCTCTTTGATGAAGGCATTTGTAAGCCTGTCCTCACGGGACTTGTTTGACGATGATACAGTAACGGACTACGTGGTATACATGTATATATATGCAATGCCTTTACATATATGTTTAGCGCTGATGAGCCCTACTCTCTCGTACACGCAAACCAATCGGTATTGTTATCATAGGACATCACTGTACAGAATGTGATTACCAGGAAATGGGTCTATCCTTTACTGAGCAGTGCAATGAGGGCGGAATGAATGAAGGACAATTATTATCGAAGATTAGTAATTATGTGATTCGTGGATGAGGACCATTTCAAATTGTCTACTATATGAATGATTATAATATTAAGATACGAAACGGCCGCATGTTAAAAATTGAGGTGGAGCAACCTGAAAACCAGAACAACTACAGTCATCATTTCTAGTCATCAGCAAATGACCAAGCAAATTGGTATTTCATTCAATTAGCGTGATACTGTCCTAGGACCATGTAATGAGTGTGGGACGATAAATAAATACTCCTCGATGGAGTTAATTTTTGTTTTATTTTACGTCAAAACAGTGCGATGCACTCATGGTCCGTCCAGACATGTATTATGGCCATGTTATATCAGTGAGGTACAATTTATGACATAAAATGTTATTATACAAGATATGTTTTGTCAGAAATCGTTCAAAATGTTAGTAAAAACCTTTGGCGGACTCTTGTTTTGTATGTAATTTTGAATGTCAATTTGTGTATGTGTTTATATACGATGGTGTATATTTTTAATCATCAACGTTGTTGCCTAAGCGTGATACATTTCATACAGTAAAGACATCTTCTAGGGACATATTCAATTGGTTATTTAATTTAAGTGATATCTCAATAGATCTTGGCATTATCATCTATTAGGAAAAAGATAATTCACATGTGTATAAACGATAACTGTTTGAAATAACATGCCAGAATATCCAGCCGAACGATTTTGCAAATTACAAATACGTATAGAAAAGTGCAATCTGTGTTATTTTAATGAACATCATTATGTGCATATGCTGAAACTAAAATACAATTCATATCAAATTACGGTCTCACGCTAGACAGGTATGACAAACAACAGCACAATGTATGTGATGCCTTCAGAATACCATAAAGAATGTATAAACATGTAGTTTGTGTGAGTCCTGTTTTCCTGGTTCAGTTATATTTGACCTTTGTATCCTAAAAATACAGTCTACATGTCATATTCGCTATTATACTTGGTGATTTAAACACAAAAATATATTTTTATCGTTCTTCATTTTTGGTACGTCATATACATTTGATTATATGCTTTTAAAATCTTGATATTTGAAATCGACATCAAAGTAAGAAGAGCCTTGTGGTCATTTATTTATATAATAATTGTGATTACTGATGTAATTAAAAGTTTATATGTGATTCACTTCATTTGGAAAACAATAGCCTTTTGTTTCATCATTTTGTCGAATAGTGTCGGTGTTCAAAATGTTAGAAATATATGCTAAGGGAGGCAACTGTAACTTCAATTATCCCATCATGAGATATTAAGAGACTGTCTTTAACCAGAAGTTAACGATATTCCCTATTCCTTGAGCATGCTTTTTCACCGGGTGTTCAAGTCATTGAAGCAAAGTTAATAACATATCTTTAACAAAGCAAAGAAACAAAGCACTGAATGTTCTGGTGGAAAATTTCTCTGTGAGGCGACCCCACACCTATATCCCCTACCAACTTTATTTTAAACATCGGTATCTCGCGTGTCGTTATTGAAAAAAAAAAACGCGGGGTAAATTATATTTCCCCTCTGACTGACAAGCGTGGAATTTGAACCATTATATCTGATTGTTCATCGTAAATCATTAACTCAGCGCAGTCGTTCACAAATGTTGAAGAAGCTAAACGTATTATGATATAAATTACCTATTTTTGTTCAATATTTAGCCCTGAAACTGATGTTTTAAGGATTGGAAGGGATTTGTTAAAATAATATTTTACGCTATATTTATAGCTTTCATGAATATTTGAAACAAATAAGGCACACTGAACCTGTCCAATTCCACACGCACCCTAACACCAATATTTATGGGCCTAGCCAAGCCAAAGCTTAAGAAAAAAAATCGGAAGTGAGTTTGATTTATGTGTTAAACTAATAAACGACATCGAGATGGAACAAAGACAGAGTTTGACATCAGGCATTTCTAATTGATTTGGATGAATTTAGAAAAGTTTATTTCAGTAGAAATATTACTGAGGGGCCCATGTTTCTTAGATCTCTCAAACGACTTTAAATTCAACTGTTATTACAAAACATTGTCGTCCCTTATCACGCTAACTAATGTTATACTATAGCCCTGGAAACTTGGAAATGATTTCAAATTTAAGGGAAAATTATATAATCAGAATTTGGCATTCGTTTGAGGTATTTTTATTCGATTTAGATAAAAGTTAAAACGAATTTAAAGACAAAACATCAGAAGAAACCTGATATTGTATTAACATTGAGTTGTGTTATCGAGTGTTAAATACGAGTGCAGTACTGTGTACAGGCGCCTAATGTACCGTCAGTAACAGCTAATTAGTGATAAGGAGTGACAGCTATTAACTACAAAGTCTTCTCTTATCTCAACAGGAGAAACACGATATCGTTACGGGATATTCACGTATTCTGACAGAACAGTTAAAAGCAGGTCTCAATAATAAATATCTTATTTACCCTGAAACCAAGCAACTGTCAATGTCCACTTTGAAATTAACAGAAACCAGTTTTTGTAATCTATTTCACATGTTCACCCAATTAATTCTCCCCACGGCACCTGCACTGCACTTTAAGTCATAGTTGATTGTGGAATTGAGCTTGTACTTTAAAAGCAAAACGATAAATTTAGTAGCTATTTGTGTCATAGTTTTCCTTCCAATTATTTTAGGTCGTAATTTCGTAACCGTTACGACTATTCGTGTTATGTTGTAAAACTAACGCGACTTTTGAAAAAAATATTGGCTTGTCGGGACAGTTAATGAGGACAAGTCAAATCAAATAATGCCAAGATTCATAATTATTTTATCTCATTAAACATGATACTTATCTCAACAAATCGACATAAATTTGCCCAAAAATCATTTTTCTCAAAAGAATACAACTTGTCGCAATTAATATCTCAAAAAGTCGTGTTATATAATACCAACTTAAATAACAAGATGACATGTATGTTACCATAATTAACATATCAGAAGTCCCATGCCTTGGTAGTGATATGATTCCTTCTTATCAGTTCGAAAGCACAGGATCGGATGAATAAGTGTGTCAACTATACCAAAGTTCGCTTAGATTCCGTACGACAAGCGCCGTTAGGACCTACATTAAAATCTGATTTTGTCATTCAGAGTCTGATGAGCACAATTTGATAAAAGTGTTCATGGCTTAAAGCATCTATGTTTTAAATAATTTGGTTTTTGTGTTTCGAAGTGATTGTATCTACTGTTGTATAAAACTCTCCAATTCTGATCAACTTTGATGTCGGTTAGTAACTTATTCAATTAATGATTCGATAAGTAAATAATGCCATGTCTTCTTGGTTTTGCAGTGTCTAGAATGAGTCTGCAGTGACGGAAAATTATAGGAGCACTACACAAAGATCAGCATTATGGCTTTCTACAGAATCAACACCTCACAAGGACCGTATGACACAATAGAGCTTAATGCATTAGACACATACGGTAGTTCCACGCCGAATCATGCATCGAATCCCGCACAAGATGAATACACCCCTGCCTTAGAAGCCTTCAGTAAACGATATGCTCCTCTCCATGGATACATAAGTGTCTTTGTTTGCGTGTTTGGAATAATTGCTAACGTTGCAAATATAGTAGTACTTACGCGAAAAAATATGATAACAACGACTAACATTGTCCTCACCTGGCTAGCGGTAACTGATTCCATGAAAATGTTGGATTATCTGCCCTTTGTGACCTACTTCTATATTTTAAAGGAAGACGATCTGGAATATTTCTCTTCGCGAAGCTACAGTTGGATGTGTTTTCTGTTGTACCATGCGAGTTTCAGTATTGTTTGTCACACAGTGGCGATATGGTGTACTATTGTGCTGGCAATTATGAGATTCCTCATTATCTGGTTCCCAGCAAAGGGTTCAATGTGGTGCAGTCATCGTCGCGCCAAGATATCTATCGCAGTCGTATATGTATCCGTTGTCATCCTATGTATTCCAAATTATATGATGAATACGATGACTACCCATTACAAAAACGTTACGGACGCACACGGTAACGTGTATACGGACGTTACATACCACTCAAGTGTACGAAAGGAAGGGGTGTTTCATGTGGTTAGTGATATAAATTTTTATATCCAGGCTATTCTGGTCAAACTTGTTCCCTGTGTCACGCTAACCATATTCACAGTGTTACTCATTTACGCCATGCACAAGGCTTACAAAAAGCGAATGGCTCTGAAAAATCAAGGAAAGAAGGAGGACGCTGATCGTCACCATGAACATAACCGAACCACGGGAATGCTACTTGCTGTCGTTGTGTTGTTCCTCATCACCGAACTGCCACAAGGCATGCTCACTCTTCTCATCATCTTCATTCCATCAATACAAACCAGTGTTTACAATCCACTGGGAGATGTTCTCGATATAGTTGCTCTTTGTAACAATGCTATAAACTTTGTACTGTACTGTAGTATGAGCACACTATTTCGAGACACATTTGTCCGAATATTTTGTAATTGTTGTCCGAAAAATCGTCCTGGTTGGTCAAAAACTAAACTTATCACAAATGGCAATGGTAGAAAATATAATTCGACAAACGATGGCACGGTCGCTACAGATGTATAGGCTCAGCTATTTAATAGCTTGATGAGTGCTTCTACTTGATTATGATCCAACTAACTTGAAAGTGATACAGTGTAGATACCAACACATAGTCACTTCGATACATAAAAGTCATGGGAAACATTATTGTTCTTGTACATACAAACAGTTATTGAGTCTGAATTTGTCGATGACTTCGCCATGCTGTTTATCATCTTCAGTGAATTTTAAAATTTGATAGGCTTAAGTCCGTATATACGTTTAACCTAAATTTGCCTACAAGTGTGTACATGAAGATGTCGTCTAGTTGGTGTCTAGTTGATGTTACCTGACGCTGCTAATAGGACGTCAGGGATTCATGGCTGTTAAATCCAGGAAAGTTAAAAAATTGACGCCAGGGATTCCATAATGAGATGGCTTGCCATTTAATAGAAACAAAAAATATAAGTATCTAATATATATATGTAAGTATTCTAATAGCTATATCGATAATTGTGATGTCAATATCTTGCACAGCATGTCAGATGCACGTTTTATATGTGCGCATCGAAGAAAAATATGGGCATTACGCTGCAATGATCGAAAACTTGTTTCCCACTCTGATAAAGGACATGTTTTCAATCATTAATTATTTTAGATAAAAACCTTATCGGTACTTGTTTATTTTTGGGGTTGTGATGGCGGATACCAAAATATACATTTTCCCTTTTAGAGTCGATGAATCATATGTAAAAAGTTATTATATTACGGTGTTTTCCTGGAGTAATGTGAGAAAAATAACATTAATATACAGACGATATCGAGTCTTCATCCACAAAACCTGTCGGGTTATCGAAAGTTGGAACTAGGTGAAGATCATCAACTGCGCCTTATGCTGTCCTTTAGGTTAGAATAGCACACATAGAATTTAGATAATTAAATCTCCTGTGATCAGTGTATATAGTTTGATATATGTCTGTTATGGTTTGGTTTTTGTGGGTATACAATTTCGTGGTATGCACATTCTGGCCTGTATCAAGCACTTAACAGTTTGTTTGATCCATGTCATTAGTTTAGCCCGTAAAACTAGTTTTATGGACCTAGATAATCCAAGAAATGAATTAATATTGATGTCCAACGAACATTTGTGATTTGAAACTATTATTCATCCTGTATATACTGCTTGTGTCATAATTCTCCTAATTGTTTATCGCCATGAGTCAAAGATTTACACGCTAGCAAAATTGCAGTTGTCAAATGTGGTTATTATGTATATAGAAATTAACACAGAGTTCGTAAAAAAAAACAGAATTTTTCACGACCGTTTCTTGTTTTTAGATAAAGGTTAAAACGTAAATTTACTGTCTGTAGTGACATAATGCTCAGAACAACATGGATGACCTGAAGACTTACAAACTGATGACTTGAGGCTCGAAACATTTTGTGAAACCAATTTGAAAAGATTGGTTTGTTTTACATTTTCCCTTGAGAAAGTGAAAATTATCCAGGGTTTTGAACTACAGGTACTTATAAAACTATTGTTAAAAAGTGTGTGTAACAGATATGTTATTTAAATCAACGTGCACCCTTCAATTTTCAAACTTTTATTATAAAATTATGATAGTACTAGGTACTCATTTGACATCAGGGACATTAGCAATTGTTCAAAAAATACTTTGCAGTTTGGATAATTATTAAGGAGAAAATATCATCGAATAAAGAGAGAAAAACAGACCCACAAATCAAAGCAAAAATTAAACGAAGGAAAAAATGTTAATTTCCCTGGAGTCAAAATGTAACACTGATTATTACTCTATGGTGAAGCTTATTGTCATTAGACAGATATATTGTACCTGGGTTGTATTGTCATTGCCATTCACATCGCCCACATGTTATTTTGTAGAATAAAGATACTTAGTGAGACTGTCATTAGTGTGTTTGGTGTCTTGTTATATCATTATTTACAGGGAAAATACATATAAGCAAATCGCACGTGTTTGGTATCATATAAGGAATATTATGTGACCATGCCAATGGACATGTGATTGGTTAACACGAATGAACACTATTAAGGACGTGTAAACAAGAAACGTCAAGTCGGAGTAGCACATTTAGATAGAAATTTGGAGTTAAATACAGCAAAGACAAACGATGAATCAAACTGCCTCATAGAGCTGTTTCGTTCTTCTAGAACTCGTCATTGTTGCTAAGGACCAAACGTTTGAAGCCTAGGAGGCGACTAAACCTGCAAATGATCCAAATTTAGAAAGTGTGGTGCACTAGCCTCTTAATTCAATACATTTTGTATTTTTTTAAGATATCAAATAATTTTATCAGCAACGTTAAGTACATGCGTATATTCTGAACCGTGCCACTCTTGGAATAGATTAAAACATGCCTTGCATGTTATGGCAAACGTCGAGGACTTAAAAGCCCTTAAGCTGTGTCTACCACCTGCAATCTCTAAGATTGTACAAAAATCAAGTTAGAGTTAGGTACAATAGAGCCATGAATGAATTTAACTGAATTATACAACTGTTTCGTCGTTCTAGGATTCGTCAATGATGCTCGACACCAAAATTTGGTAGTCTAGGGGACAACTCAGAGAGGAAACTCTGAAGTGGTCAACAGAAGTGTTAAAATCTAGATGGTGAGGTGCACTAGACTCATAATTCAATCATTTTCGTATTTTTATATATCAAATCATTTTGCAACATACATATGTATATTCTGAACCGTGCTACTCTATGAATAAACAAAAACGTATGTTAAAGTGTTAAAATTTAGATGAGGAGGTATACTAGACTCATAGTTCAACTAATCTTAAAATCAATTGAAATTAAATTAGATATGACAGTAGACACCTCACAACAACAGCATGGATATATATAAGACAACAGAAGAGAGAAAAAAGCTAAATAATACGGTATATCAAACCTATGTACGAATCACCAAAACAACAACAGGAGATTAAAAGCACACCAAGATGTAAAGAAAACAGCATATAACAGGTGGAACATCAGGACAATAAGAGATACAAGAAAACGACAGAAACAACAAAGAATTAACACCATAACAGAAGTATAAGTGAAACATCAACTTGATTCAACTAGGACTAAGATATTCAGGTCTGTGTTGCCAGTGTATGGACGTATATTATACATTATTTAGATATCAGTACACTATACACAGATTACCTTTCTAGACATTTGCAGTGTCAAAACATTCCATTAGGCTACTACACTATACACATTACCAGTACAGGTCTCGACTACTATCCACAATTACACATTACCAGTACAGGTCGACTACTACACTATACACACATTACCAGTACAGGTCGACTACTACACTATACACACATTACCAGTACAGGTCGACTACTACACTATACACACATTACCAGTACAGGTCGACTACTATACACACATTACCAGTACAGGTCGACTACTATACACACATTACCAGTACAGGTCGACTACTACACTATACACACATTACCAGTACAGGTCGACTACTACACTATACACACATTACCAGTACAGGTCGACTACTATACACACATTACCAGTACAGGTCGACTACTACATTACCAGTACACACACACATTACTACTACTACACTTATACACACACTACACACACACATTACCAGTACACACTATACACTATACACACATTACCAGTACAGGTCGACTACTACACTATACACACATTACCAGTACAGGTCGTACACACATTACCAGTACAGGTCGACTACTACACTATACACACATTACCAGTACAGGTCGACTACTACACTATACACACATTACCAGTACAGGTCGACTACTACACTATACACACATTACCAGTACAGGTCGACTACTACACTATACACACATTACCAGTACAGGTCGACTACTACACTATACACACATTACCAGTACAGGTCGACTACTACACTGTACACACATTACCAGTACAGGTCGACTACTACACTATACACACATTACCAGTACAGGTCGACACTATACACACATTACCAGTACAGGTCGACTACTACACTATACACACATTACCAGTACAGGTCGACTTCTATAAACACATTACCAGTACAGGTCGACTACTATACACACATTACCAGTACAGGTCGACTACTATACACACATTACCAGTACAGGTCGACTACTACACTATACACACATTACCAGTACAGGTCGACTACTACACTATACACACATTACCAGTACAGGTCGACTACTACATTACAAACAAATTACCAGTACAGGTCGACTACTACACTATACACACATTACCAGTACAGGTCGACTACTATACACACATACTACACACATTACACACACATTACCAGGTACTATACACACATTACCAGTACAGGTCGACTACTACACACACATTACCAGTATACTACTACACACACATTACCAGTACAGGTCGACTACTACACTATACACACATTACCAGTACAGGTCGACCAGTACACACATTACGAGGTCGACTACTATACACACATTACACATTACCAGTACAGGTTACCAGTACAGGTACACATACTACACTATACACACATTACCAGTACACACATTACACACATTACCAGTACAGGTCGACTACTACACTATACACACATTACCAGTACAGGTCGACTACTACAGTACAGGTCGACTACTACACTATACACACATTACCAGTACAGGTCGACTACACTATACACACATTACACAGTACAGGTACCAGTATACACACATTACCAGACTACTATTACCAGTACAGGTCGACACACACACACATTACCAGTACAGGTCGACTACTACACTATACACATACACACATTACCAATACAGGTCGACTACTATAAACACATTACCAGTACAGGTCGACTACTATACACACATTACCAGTACAGGTCGACTACTACACTATATACACATTACCAGTACAGGTAAACTAATTTACACACAATACCAGTATAGATCGACTACTATACACACGTTACCAGTACAGGTCGACTACTACACTATACACACATTACCAGTACAGGTC